AGAGGAGAGGAGAGGAGAGGAGAGGAGAGAAGAGGAGAGGAGAGGAGAGGAGAGAAGAGGAGTTCACCATGAGGCCTACGAGTCGGGTCAGGGCTGCCAAATGCCAGATGCTGGCCACCAGCTTCTTTGTCTTGGTAACAAGCAGGTTGGGCAGGAGGGTGGAGGTAGGGAGCCCAGCACACCTGTACCCAGGGTGGCCCCTCCACATGCCAGCCCTCCTGCCCCAACGTGCCCTGCAGATTTGGTTCAGTGTCCCCGCTCATGAGCCCAGCAGGCTGTGTGCATCTGGGCAGGATGCCTATGGGCAGTATCCACCCTTTTGAAGAGGCTGGGTTGGGCCTGGGGCCTTGGATGGAGGTGACCTAGGGTGGAGAGGAGGTTGATGGGGAAGGGGTGCTAACTGCCTGGGCTCCAGACCTGTCTTCCTGCCCTAGGGGACACTGTCACTGGGCTGGGGAAGGTCCAGGGCTGCAGGGCTCTGCAGGCAGATGATGCAAGGTTCTGGGTCCCTAAAGGAGCTGGGTAATGGCTATGTGTGTACACCTGCATGTCAGTATTTGTGTGTGTGTATGCGTGTGTGGGAGGGAAGTGTCTAGGGCAAAGATCTCATTGAGAACACTCCACAAAAATACTCAGAACTCCCAGCAGCTGGCCTGTTTCCTGTGAGTCCAGGACCCTGGAGTGGGCCTGACTTGGGCTCTGGGAGCCCAGATCCTGCCTGTGGAAAGGTGGCGGTGTGTGTGTGTTTGGGGGGTTCATGTGGCTGTCCCCAGCCCTGAGCCCATGCTCTGAGCCTGCTCCACCCACAGCTGCTGGGCTTCTCTGTGGCCACCATGGCAGTTCTCATGTACTTTGGAGATCACTTTGCCATCATGATCCACGTGTCCTTGGAGAGGAATCCCTATGACGCCGTGCACCACTGGGGTAAGTGTGGTCAGGGCTGGGCAGAGCAGAGGTGGCTGGAGCAGGTCTGGACTGGGCATGAGGTTCCAGATACTGGGCTCTAGGTGATCGGAGGAGCTCGCTGGGAAGAACCAGGAACTCCAGGCAGGAAAGGGCAGCCCTGGCATCCTGACTCCACTCACTAGAGGCTGGGTCTGGACGATGACTGGTGTTCCGGCACCAGGCCTGCAATCCCCTAGAAGTATGGAACAGCACAGTTATTCCAATCATATCAGACCCAAAATCCTTGCTTTCAGAACTTGCCTGTGACAGGGGCTGCCTGGAACAGGGCCTGTGGGACTCAGCAGTGGAATATATGTTGTTCAGAAGGCAGAAAATGCCAAGAAAGGGCCAGAGCCTGCCTAGTGACCCCTTTCAGAGCTCAAGGAAGGCTGCTTTAATGAGAGGACATCTCAGGCAGAAGCACCCCAGGAGGGTGGCTGGCCAGTAGGAGAAGGTAGGGGAAAATGAATGTGGGCCTGATGGACCCAGCCCCCAGCCTCCTGTCTCCCCAGAGCCGGAAGCCTGAGGCTTGGGCTTGGACTGATAAGGTCACAGCTCCACAAGCCACCTGTCATGAGGGCCTGAGGATAGAGCTTGAAAATAATCTGTAGGCAGGGAAGGCGGGGTGAAAAAAGGGGGGGAGGGGACATGTTATTCTCACTTCCCTCCTCCTTCCCTGGGGAGAAAAGTTGTTGGGCAGAAGGAGGCCCGTCCCTGTTTGAAGGGGAAAGGAGGCCCATTCAGAGCTTCCACAAAAGTCCAGCACCCATGACCCCCAAGATGGAGTTCAGGTGTAGGCCCTGTGCATCAGGCCCTGTCCTGGTATCCCCAACTCTCTTCTCTCTTCCTATGCAGCCTTCTATGTAGGGATCAGCCTAGCAGCCCTGTTGATCCTGGGGGCCTCCCTGAGCACCACAGCTGCTGTGAAGGAGGCCCAGGGCCTCATGGCTGGGGTGAGTTCTCTCAAATCCTTGACCTCCCATTCCCTTAGGTCTCTGTCTCACTTGAGACAGTTGTGACTGTCTGTCCCATTCCCCTGTGACTGTCCCATTCCCCCAGGGCCCTCCACTTGAGACATTTGTGACCCTCCCTCCACCAAGGCCACACAGGCCCTCCATGTGGGCCCCACTTCACCTTATCATCTTTGTGCATAGTAATGGTCCTACAAGAGCCCTGAGAAGCAGAGCTGGCCTTCTCAGCCCTGGGAGCCACCCCCAAAGACTCTGGGAACCACCCCCAAGGACCCCGAGAACCACCCACAAAGACTCTGAGAATACCTGGTTCAGTTACCCAGCAGTCTCTGGGGACAGAGTTTGGGTGAGGCTCATTTCTCATTGGGAGGAGACCAGGGAGGGTGAGAGAAGTAGTCTCTGTGGAGCCCTCCAGCCTTGATCCCCTCCCACGCCTCACACCTTCCAGCTAGCAGAGGGCTGTGCTGCACCCTGATATTTCATAGTCCCTAAACCTTCCCTGGGCTACCCTTCCTGCCCCTGCCTCATCAGGCCGCTCCTTCTCACCTGAGCTGGAGCAGCTCCTCCCTGGTTCTCTGGGCTCCCACCTATTCCCCCACTATGACATCCTTGCTTCCCAACTCCAACCCTGCAGATCCCTGCCCCTGCGTGCTCCCCTACCCGACTCTGGCTGTGAGTGGCTCATGGAGTCAGAGACCCTTGGGAGCCTGTACTTGGAGCCTTGCTCCCTGGCTGGGCTGTGGGTCTGGGTCTTACTGGACTCCCAAGGACAGAGCTTCCTGAGTTTACAGACTGGGAAGTTCTCACCCAGCTCTCATGCTCAGCCCAGGTTTTTTCAGGACACCTGGTCTGCAAATGTCCCCAAGGACACAGTCAGAATCACCCTGAAGCTGCTGCAGGGGCCGGCAGGTCCTTGGGTGAGCCTGAGGGAACTGAGCAGCAGCCACAACTCCAGTCTCACCAAGATTCCCCCTTTGGGGGCACAGGAGTGAGACAAGGACAGTACCAGCTATGAATGTGCACTAAAACCTAGGCCTGCACAGTCTGGCTTTTGGGCTGAGGCCCAAAAGGCTCCTCCCACTGGAGGCCCCAGTGAGAAGGTGACAGGGCTGATGGACTGTGCCCCTAGAGGGTGTGTGTCCTGCAGAAGGACACTCTGGGCAAAGACAGGGCTGAAAGCCTGCTAGGCTTAGGTCTGGACGTGTCTGGCAGGAAGGCTGCAGCATTAGCCACCAGGGGGGACTGGAGAGCTGATCTTGAGGCCACAGGGCAGAAAACGGAAGGCCACACCAGGGCCTGTGCAGCCCAGCCATGCGCAGGCCTTCCCCAGGCCTGTGCTCAGGAAGGCCTGCGCTTGGCATTTGACCTATCAAGGGCATCAGGGAGCACCCGAGATTTCAATTCTGCATCTCTAGCCAGACTCAGGGTCTAGGTAACTATTACGTGGGTCACTTACAAGAAGCCTGGAATCCCCCAGCCAGATGCCTGTGTAGGTTGGGCTCCCAAGGCCACTCCAAGCAGTTATGGACTCCCGCATACCCAGCTAAGTCCCTGCACTCGGCCATAGTCACCACAGAGGCGCTGGGAGACCACCTGGATACCTGTTCCACTAAGCCGCATGGGGGAGGCAGTGCCTATGCACATGTGTGTGTGCCTGTGTACATGCGCGTACGTGTGCATACACATGTGAATGTATGTATGTGTGTCTGCACACGCATCTTTGTAGCTTGGCTTCACGTGCCCTAGCTGCAGTGCCAGTGTGGCCGTCTCCATGTTGCTTCTGGTGTGTCTGCATGTGTAAGCACATGTGAAGGGGGCTGGGGCGTGTGGAGGAGGGAGTGGAAAATTTTTTTCCATCTTGCCTGGTGCCCAGCTGTCCCCTCCCTGCCCCTTCCTGCCCCCGCCTCCTACAGCCTCCGGCACAGGAAATGACAGCAAGAGCTGGCCCAGGACAGCCAAACTGGCTGTAGCAGCCCAAGGAAGCTGATTCCAATTGTCCATGGATTTATTTATTTCTGTTCATTTAAGATGAGGAGAAAGAAAATGCCCATGGTTTCTTGGCCCCTGGCAGCAGCCTCTGCACTGTGGAGGCCTTGGCCAGGCTGGGTGGACCTGTCCACTGCCCAAAACCCTCTCAGTGGGGGTGGGGTGAGGGTTGAAGCTCTTTCTCCTAAGGAATGAAACGATTTCTGGGAAATGCTGGTTTTCTGAGCTGGCTCATGGCCTCCAGCCTGGGAGGCAGCACCGAGCGATGGTTTCCAGATGGTGATCATGGCCTGGAGGGGGGCGACGAGGTAGAAGTGGAACAGACAGGAGCGGGAAGAGGGGTAGGAGATGAAGAAGAGAAAGAAAAGAGAGGAAAAGGAGACAGAGGAGGAGGGGCAGGAAGAGAGGGAGGAAGAGGGGAGGAGGAGGAAGGGAGAGAAGAGGAAGAGGAGGAGGATGGCAAGGAGAGGAAGGATAAGGGGAAAGAGAGGAGGAAGGGAAGGAAGGAAGGAGCAGGAAACACCGCAGCAGACCACCAAACAGGCCTTTCAGACACTGGGCAAATCACAGAGACCATGGGGAGGAAGCCCCTGCTGCAGAGCTGTGCCACGTTTGGAGCTGGCGGGGTGGTGGCAGGTCTTTCTGTGGGTCCCCCTACATCCACAAGTGTCTCAACCCACCTGTTCTCCATCCTCCTGGGTGTCTCCTGAGTGGGACTTTTGGCTGGGAAACCCTAGCTACGGGCACTGCAGGCTACCGACAGTCCAAATAGCACATGTCAACCCAGCCCCACACTGGTGACATGAGGGGCGGGGAGGGCGCTGACGCAGAAGGCATCAGCCACACTGGGGGCACCGTGCACCCAGTGGGCCTGTGTGGGCAGTGCCTGCAACCATGGTCTGGAGCCCCAGGAAGAGATGGTGGAGACCCAGATTCAAGGCAACCAGACGGACAGGAGGAGGTGCCCGGTGTTCTTAGATGGGGTGACTCTCTGAAACTCTCCACAAAAGCTGGGAGGGGGAATGTGCCAATGTGCATTTTCAGAGGAGTCGTCAGTAATGTCCATCAGCTTCTACAAAGGAGAGTCTCAAAAGTCTAGACCCTGACTAGAGAAAGAAAGGCAGAGTGAGGAGTAGTGAATGGGAAGGGAGCCCCAAGAGTCTCTCCTAACACTGGGGCCAAGCCAGTGTGGAGGAAGTGTAGGGAGCTCGCCTTGATAGGGCGTGGTCAGAACATTAGCTGCTCCGGGTTGTGGGCCCTGGTTTTTGGGTGAGTCCAGGTATAGGCACCAGGGTCTCTCTGGAGTCATGTCTCAGAAAACAGAGAACCTATGTGATGCTCTCTGTGTGGGAGGCAGCTAGCTCCCTGCATTAAAGAGGGAAGTTTCTTCAACATTCTAGGCGCAAGGATATGCTGCCCCATCCTCTTGGATCAGCTACAGTGAGCAGAGGTCTCCATCATCCTCGGGATGTTCTGTGTTCCTGGGGTGAGGGTTGTGATGCTGTGGTTGATGCCCTCAAAAGCCAAACAGAATAGGAAGAATTTTCAGAAAGGGCCAGAAGGGATGGAAAAGGGGCCAGCCACCCCAACTCTCCTTGCCACTTGAGGTCTCCCATCTGTCAGTGGGGAGCAGGGCTCAAACCCACACTTCACCCAAGCCCCACTGGAGCTGTGGCCTTTTACACTGCCTACTCACCCACAGGAAATTTACCTGGCTCCTGTGACCCGGCCTCCCTCCATCCCCAGGGCTTCCTGTGCTTCGTTCTGGTGTTCTGTGCCCTACTGCAGGTGGCCTATTGGAGGTTCCGCAGCCCCTCCCAGGTGAGTGCTAGGGCCCCCACCCTGCAGCACAGGGTCTCCAGCAAGGGGCAAAGGCTAGGGAGGCCCCTCTGGGTATGTCCATGTGAATGGTGGAGGGAGCCCAAGACAGGGAGCAGGGCAGGCAGTCAGAGGCCAAAGGGCTGGGGTTCTCTCCTGGGCAGCTCTGTGGGTAGAGAAAAGGAAGCCCAGCCCCTGCCCCCTGTTTTTCCTGAGGCCTTTTCAGCCTACCCTTTCCACTGGAAGATTCTCCTGGAGCTCAGGGAGACAGTTTGGAGGAACAGGAAAGGCCCAGCTTGGGAGAGACTGATTGGAGAGGTAGAGTGTTCTAGAACATGTGCAAAGTGAGACTGCCATCTTGCCTCAGACCTGGACGGTGTGGCTTTGCCTCATGCATGAGATGACATCCTTTCTTCCTAAATATTGACTTCCCTGGATGTGGGACTGGCCCAGTGACTCCCAGGACCAGGGTCCTAAGGTTCTCTGCTCAAAGGCCAGTGGGTTGAAGAAGGAGGAAGGTCTCCCTGGCCCCCAGCAGTGGAGACACTGATGACAGAACCCAGGCTCCAGCCCACCCCTTTGAGAGCCTAGACCAGAAGGGCTGGAGCAGCCCCGAGAGCCTCAGGACCAGCAGAAAAGCCCAGCTGGATCTAGGAGCTCATACCCTCCATGTATTAAGTGTCCAGTTCCCCAGGCATCAGCCCCAAACACAGCAGTGGCCACACAAGACACAGGCTCCAGAGGGTGGCTGGGAAGGTAGGTGACTGGCTTGCCTCTCCTGGGAACTCCTGGGAAGCTGTGTGCCTTCACGCTGACAGTGGCCACATTGGTAGGCCTCGAGCAGGCAGGTCACTCCCACAGTGTGCAGAGGGAGGGACGCAGGCCTTTTCAGGTCACTTTGGCAGTGCCAGGATGGGAGGGAGCTCCAGGCTTTGTCCAGCATGGCTGTCTCATCTCCCCTCCCTGCCCAAGGGTCTCCCCAAGTGCCACACCCACCGTTCACACCAAGACTTAACGGAAAACGCCATTTCCAACCCAAAGGATCTGGCAGGAGGTCCAGCCCTCAGTTACTGTGGTTTCGGGGAGGGGTGTTCAGCAGTCCCATCAGGGGTAAGGCGGGTCTGGCCAGCATTTTGGCATCACATTTCCTGTCCACTGAGGGGTGGTCCAGTGGGTTGGAGGTCTGGGTCACAGCGTGGGTGGCCTCTGTCAAGACAGCTGCCAGGTACACTGGGGCCTGCCTGGGGTCTCTCAGCCCATGCACCCAAGTTCTGAAGCTATGTTTATATGCTGAGCCTGGACTCATGATTCTGGTGGGAAGGAGGCCTTCCAGGGGCCACAGGACAGAACCCAGCTGGGGCCTGTGCACTGGGAAATGGAGGTTTCGAACTGTGGATGGCTCCCAGCCAGGCCTCTTCTCCAGCCTGCTTCAGCTCTGCACTCCATCCCCCACGCTATCAAATGTCCTCAACCCCTCCATGCCCCAGCACGGCCCTCAGAACAGTCCTCCAGCCTCTCTGTGACCCCAGGTGTGTGAGGGCTTCTTTCTAGGCCCTTGGTGTATGTGGGAGGGGAGAACCTATTGGACTGTCCTGTGGGTTTTTTGTTTTGTTTTGTTTTGTTTTGTTTTGTTTTGTTTTGTTTTCCCTGTACCAGGAATTGAACTCACGTCATTGTGCTTGTCAGGCAGGTACTGTGCCACTGACCTAAATCCCCAGCCCACATTTTTTTTTGGGTGTTTTTCCCTTACCAGGAATTGAACTCACGACCTTGAGCTTGCCAGGCAGGTGCTGTGCCGCTGAGCTAAATCTCCAGCCCCTCCTATGGGTTTTAATTTCTAGCATCATCCATGTGTGGGTATCCAGGCTCTGTGGGCAGAGGGGTGGCCTGGGTGATGGGGCTCTCCCTTTGAAGTCATAGGTCTATAGGACAGCCTTGGGAAGTTCCCTAGGCCTACCTTCCTTGTCTGTGAAAGCCACATCAAGACCCTTGTTCAAGGGGCTGCTACAAAGTGAAAATGAGCCAGTGGGCAAAGGATTAGTTAGATTTGTCTATGACACCCACCCTCCCCATCCCTGTGCCCTTGATCCCCTCACTGCCACCAGATTAGTGGGTCCTCCATGACATGGTATTAGTTCAGAGCTGTCCTGGGCTTGGATGAAGTGGCATTTGGTACCAGAGCACAGCCCTGAGCAAGAGGGGCAGATATGCCTCCATCCTGTGTCCACTCAGTCATGGGGCCAAAAAGGTTTTGGCCTGGGCCTCTTAGCAGCCCCCAGTGGCAGCCCCTCGGGGGGAAAAGGAGAAAGTGCCCAGACTCCCTCTGACATAGGAGCTGAGGGTGCAGCCAGGCCCATTCAGCCCATGTCCCCCTTATACTTCCCCAGAGAAACCCCTAAGCTATCCAGAAACAAGGGATTCCGATGAGTATCCCGGCCCCACACAGATGGGAGGCCTGAGGATAAGGGAAGAGGGACCTCAACCGTTCTGGAAGATACAGACTCTGGACCAGGGTGGGAATGGGGAGCCCCTCACCCAGCTCCTAAGAGCCTCCCCTCACAGGCTTCCCTGGCTGCCACTTCCTGGGACGCTGGAGCCTTGGCAGAAGCCCCAAGGTTGGCAAGGGCAGCAATGCAGACCAGGCCGCCGTGCGATGAATACAGAGTGTGAGGGCTATTAATTATGCTCTCACTGCGGCCTTACAGTCACTTGCCGCAGCTCCCCTGCCATTCCCAGACGAGACTTCAAGTCTGCACCAGGGAAAATGGATTGCCTGGCTCCTTTAATAATTCATGCCAGGATAAGCACAGTGTGTGAGGAGCAGCCTCAGATCAGGCATATTCTTGAGCCTCCCAGGGTCTCCCACCCCTCCCTGAATGTTCTAGCCAGGGCCTAGTCTGTAGACCACCTGCAGCTCCTCATAGCATCTTTCCCTAGGCTCTAGGCTTGGTCTCTGCCACCCTGAGCCAGCAGTACTGGGGGGAAGAAAGAAAGTGACCAAGCCATGACAGGCATCAGGAAAGACATGGGCTTGGGGACAAGTCCTGGGGATGTCCTGGACACCAGTCTGAGCTGCTTGAGAAGCTCACCATCTGATGAACTAGAGTTCTGCAGTGGAAGACCTTCCTAGCTCTGTGGTTCCAAACTCTTCCCAGGAATGACCCATGGATGACTAGTAGTTGAGGCTTGGACTCCAGCATTAGGTAGGAAAGAAGCCATGGGCCCATGCCATTTTCTCATGAGAAACATGGGCCTCAGTCTCCAACAGAGCCCCCCCCCAACCCCGAACCCCATAACAGAAACAAATGCTGATTTGAAATACCAGCCAGGTTCTGGGCCCAGCAAGGAGAGCTCAGCTTGGCCACATGGCGTCCCCAAGCCTAGGCTGTTGGGCCTGAGGCAGAATCTTACATCCTCAGTTATGGACAGTCACGTGACAGTCAGGCCAAGCAAGCCCTGCAGCCTGTACAGAGGGCATTATTCCTATTCTCCTACAGGGGTAAGGAGAGCTGGCACAGGGCCTTGGAGCATGTTGGTCCTCCCTGGGCCATAGCAGGGGACATGAGGGGAAATGAAGTTGTCATAGTTGAGGATAGGGGACTTGCCCCTCCCAACCCAAGCCAGTTTATGAGGGCCCAGCTCCCCAGAAAGACACAGTGGCCCAGCAGGACTCAGTTCCCCTGTCATACTCAAGGAAGCTACAGCCGGGAGAGGACCCCTGCCTGGGTGGGTGGGCCAGTGGCCAAGGCCAGCCTGGTGCGTGTCCTCAGTGGGAGGATGAAGACAGAGGCAGCTGAGCTAGGGATGACTCGTGGAGGGATGTCTGACTTCGCCATCAGTGGAGAGAGATTCATCAGTGCCAGGAGCACCATTTGGCACAGGACATCCATGTGGCTCCCACTGGGGCTTCCAGGCTGGTGTGGGGCTGCCAGAGAGCTCCCCAGTCCTACAGAAGGTCCAGGCCCAACACAATGGAGACCCCAGGGCAGCTCCCCGCTTTCCAGAGGGCAGGCATGAGTGTCCAGAGTAGGCCCAGGTCCTGCATTCATATCCGGCCATTGAGGGCACCCTGAGCACCCCTCAGTGTCTCACAGCTGATTGCATGGCCCAAGGGGGACAGTGGACTCAGGGTCTCCTAGGCAGGAGGGAGGCATTGAGAGGCCTGTCCTGGGCCAGGAGACCAGAGACCCGTGGGACACTCAGAGACACCGTCCTGGAGGAAGCAAGGTTCTAGTTTATCTCTGAAGGATCTCTTGGTGAGGGGAGGGCATTTTGACGGGCAGGGTAAACAGAGGCAAGGAGGTTGTGCTTGGCAGGTCTAGGTTTGTTGGGTGTGGAAAGAACCCAGAACCAGCCTGGGTGGTCAGACATCCACCCCATTCTGCCCTCATGTGGCCTCTTCTACCTGGAACTGACGCCACGTGCCCATGGTTTCCCTGGCCAAAGGCTTTACATGGAGCCTAGCGGCATAAGATCCTGGGTAGTTCTGGGAAAAGCCCTACAAGCAACTTTGGGGAGCTAAGGTCCCAGTCACAGGCCTTTCTGAGACTTCTCACCAAGCCCCATTGTCCATGTCCAGATTGACAGAAGTAAAGTGGGCATTTCTTTCACTGGCTCCCTTCATACTCCCCAAGATCACTTCTAGGGGCGGGCTGCAGAGCTCAACCTCCGCTCTGTCCCTCAGGACCCCCAGGGGTCAGGAGGGCCAGGTGGATAGCAGGGTTGGGGCAAAGGCCCTACAGAGGTCAGGAACCGCTCTGACCACCTGCCCAGAGCACTGAGTGCTGCCCCAGGGAGTCCCCCTGGAGGAGGAGGGGCTGCTGGGACATGGGGGTCTACCCTTTGCTCAGGAGCTCTGTCGTGGGATGGGGACTGCACATAGTCTCCTCCATACTAACGCCTCTCCATAATGCTCTGGTGCAGGTGGAGGATGCCATGTTGGACACCTTTGATCTTGTGTATGACCGAGCAGTGAGAAGCCCATCCAGCACTCAGTGGCAGGAGCTGGTGGCCATCCAGGACACAGTAAGCTACAGAGAAAGTGGTGGGATGCTCAGCCTCACTGTGATCTGGAGAATGGGTACCAATAACCCCCGCCCCCTAGTCAACCATCTCAACCCTACATACTGACAGGAAAGATTCCCGGGGTGCAGGCTATGGCTGACCCTTTAGGGAGCTGGGGTAGAGAGCGAGCAATGCCTGTCCTCTCTCTGCTGGGAACAGGGCTGGCTGCTGAATGTTTGGAACGAATGCAAGTAGACCTGTGGGGCCCATGTTAAAAAAAAAAAATTAAGAATTTTAATTCTGTGAGAACAGCATTAAAGAGAGCAAGTGTTCCACGCCCCTTACACAGGGCCCATTGTGAGAGGGTTGCCAGCCTCAAGTCCCAAGCATGGTCACCTCGGAAATCAGCCTACTCCCCTCCAAGGCTAGGCTGCAGATGGCTGTAACAGAATCAGCTTTGACACCCGGTGGTGGGGGAGGGTGCAGTTTTGCAGGACCTACTTAGGTCATTTATCCTTCCAGTGCCTCACTTTCCCCATCTGTCCTGCCCCCTTCCCATGGCTCCATGTGTCTCTGCGTAGTTTCTGTGCTGTGGGAAGAGATCTCCTTTTGGACTTCTGGAGCGCTCGGAAGCTGAACTGTGTCAGGGTGAGGAGGCTGCAAGAAAGGTGAGGAGGAGGAGGGGCCTGGGACGTGGCCAGGCAAGGGCTCTGGGGACAAACCTGAGATTCAGGGACATCTTGTACCCCTTGGCCTCTCCACCAAGGAACTGGCTACAGAAGGGCTCCGGGAAGGCGGAGGCAGCAGGAAATGTGTGAAGCCTGTGGATGTCCAGCCAACCTGGATGCAGGGCACATGCCCACTCACTCCTAGCCAGAGGAGACCTACCGTCAGAAGCTTCTAGAAGCTCACAGACAGGGTGTCAGTGCCAAGGATCTTCAGAGCGGGGTGGTCAGCTCGGTTTGGGGAGAAGGGGCAGGCATCTTGTGGAGTTCCAGAAGGAGTAGGGCAGTGCTCTGTGGGAGAGGTGAGGCTGGAGGGACAGACAGGCCTTGGCCCCTTCTCTGGGACTCACCCTCCCTCTCTTCTCCGCTGCTGCCGCCCAGCCCCCCTCCGGAACCTCCCCCATGTCCTGGAAACAAACTCGCCCTATCTCAGGGCTTGAGGTGCCTGGCAACCCTCCAAGAAACAGAGGAGGATGGGGATGGCTGGAGGCCCAGTGGGGGAGGGAACCACAGCACCCGCCCCAAGGGCCAGCGGGGTGGAGTGCTGGGGAGGGCCTGAGAGTCAGGAAGCCTCATCTACCCAGGGACAGTCCTGGGTCCTGACTGCAAAACTAGGGCCAAGGTCTGCCCCACACACTGCAGAGTGGCAGGGAAGCGTGACCGAGTTATAAAGGGTCCTGGGGGGAAAATACCAGCACAAGATAACTTGTCTGCAGGACAGCAGGGCAACTCCCTGGATATCTAGGTGGCCCAGCCCTTCCTCAGCCTCCCCAAAATGCCATCAACCTGCCCCAAAACCCTCTTATACTATCTCAATGCTCAGAGACAAGAAGGTCACCTCCTTTTTTCATGGGTCCATGCCCTAGGGTGGCACTGGAAGCCCAGATGGAACTCAGACCTTGGGACATCAAGGGGGCACCTGGACTCTCCACCACTGTGTCCCTGCCCTCCCCATTAGCCAGTATCCTCTGGACACTGAGGTGCCGGGTTGGCCTTGGGCTGCCCAGGGGAACCAGACTTATAGCCCAATGCAGGAGCTTAGAGCAGCCGGCAGTCCAGGAGGAACCCCAGCCTGACTCCAGGGAAGTGGCCCCTTGGTCCTTGCAGAGGCCAGCTCCATGCCCCTTGGGCTCACCTATCCATGACACTGCATCCCAGAGTTCTCTGGCATGGGCCCCTGTGTTTTGTAGCTCCTCAGTGGCCACTTGCCTTGGCAGGGTGGGTAACATGCACATTGCCCTCTGCCTAGGACTGCCTGCAGAGCATCCAGAGCTTCCTGAGAATCCACCAAAACATCGTCTCTATGCTAACCAGTGCCGGCCTGGCCCTCACGGTACCCCACATTCTCCCTCACTGTCCTTGCCCACCTCCTTCCTATTTGCCCTCCCTAGCCCCCAACCTAATGGAAGGGTGGTGCAGAGCAGCCTCCAGGCTATAGCTCTAGACCAGGACTTCTGGTCTTGGGCATCACCAGGGTTCTCTCAGCCTAAGGAACAGGGAGGAGCCAGCACCTGACCCAGGGAGGTGGCCCAGGGTCTGCCTCATTCCTTTCCCAAGGAGCTGGGCGCTTCCCAACTCTGCAAAGCCCAGAAATTTCCTAGGAGGTACTGAGACTCCCACCCTGGGGTTGCTGCTGAAGACTGAGGCTCTCTGGCCTCCTCCCTCCCCAGGTATATGCCATGCTGCTCAGCTCCTTCCTCTGGTTTGCCATCCTGTCCGGTTACAACTTGGACCGCAAAGGCACATACACCGTGACCCCACGGTAGGTTCCCAGCACCACCCACTCACTCTCCCCAGAGTTCTACAGCCCCACAGTTCCCTGCGTGTGCACCTCCCACTGTTAAGGTGTCCCCTCTGCCCAGGACACAAGTCCTTTGGACCAGGGGCCAAGCTTGTTCTCTAGTGGGGGCACTTTGAGGTGTCTGGCTGCATTAGGAGTACAGATCAGCATGTACTCCACTCTGCTGCCTCTAGTTCCTGCTTAGACCTGACCTTATACCTGCCATCCCCAGTGACAGTAGCATAGAGAGATAGATGCTTTGTAGCCCAGGGTCCCCAGCCTTGGGGAACATCAGAGTTCCCTGTGCACAAGGCAAGGAGGACCCAGATCTAGAAGCCAGAAAGAACCTTCTGTTCCTATGGCACACAGGTCAGTTTACCCAGCCCAGCTGCCTGGGTCCTCCCTACCCTGGCATCCTGCCTCCCCTCTGCATTCAGAAATAGCCTCACTATTCCCTCGAGAACATTCTGTGATAGACTTCCAGTCCCCTTTAGAACATTCTACAGTTGCCTCACAATTTGTTGTAGAAAGTTCTGCAATAGCTTCATGGTCTGCCTACTCTAGAATGTTCTACAGGAGTCCAGGGATATAGCTCAGCAACACAGTACCTGCCTGGCAAGCACAAGGTCCTGAGTTCAATTCCCAGTACCAAAAAAAAGAAGAATATTCTACAATAGCCTTCCAAGTTTCCTCTAGAACATTCTACAGCAACCCCACAGACCCCTCTAGAACATTCTGAGGTGTTCTAGACTTGTAGTCCCTTCCAGAGAATTCTTTAACAGCTTCACAGTCACCCCTAGAATGTTCTGGAACCCATTCACAGTCTTCTCTAGAACATTCTAGAAGAGCTTCAATATCCCCTCTGCTTTGCAGAGCCCATGGCTGCCAGCCCCAGGAGTCCAGCCTCTTCAGACATTCCCAGGAAGGGGCCTATACCTCGACACTCCTCTGAAGCAGAGACTCTTGCTGACCCCAGCGAACACTTTGCTAGTCCTTAGTGGCCCTAGGACTCGTGCTCTATTCCAGCCCCCTGTCTTGTCATCTGTCTGCCCACAGAAGTGAAAATACCTACCAAGCACTGGCCCTCATGTGACTGGTCCTTAAGGGAGTTGTCCTCCACAGGGTGGTGCCTGGAGAAGGGAGAAGACTCACTGAACACTCACTGGGCCCCCTGTACAGTAGATGTCAACCTGCAGGGAATGAGGCAGGGTGAGGGAGACAGGCCAAATAGCAGGGATCTCAGGGCAAACACAGCACTGGTAAGGGTGCTGCCTGACAACTGCCACCACCACAGTGGTTCTCTGTGTTTTGTAACAAAGAGCACACACGGTGACTTAGAGCTGCACACATTCATCCTGTGATGGCTTCTGGGTCAGAGTCCAGGTGGGTTGGGCAGGCTCTGCTCATAAAGCCAAAAATCAAGGGGACAGGAAGACTTGGCCTGACTCAGAGGCTGCTGGGGGAATCTTTTAAGACCACTCTGGCTATTGGAAGAATTCAGTTTCTTGGAGTTGCAGGTCCAATGTCACATGTTACTTGCTGACTGGAGTGAGGGTCTCTCTCTCCTCCTCAAACCCACCCCATTCCTCTCCATGTCCCCTCCACTTTCAGACCAAGGAAGTAGGCTGAAATGTCCGTGTGGGAGGATCCTCATGGTTCAGATTCTCTGAGTTCTGCCAGCTGGAAGAGCTCTCTTGTGAGGCCCCATGAAAAGTTTAGGCCCATCCAAATAATCTCACTATCTGAAGGAGAATCTTTTCTTTTATATTGTGGTTGAATACACGTGACCTAAAGTTTCCATCATAACCCATTTTTAAGTGCACAGTTCAGGGGCATTAAGCACATTCACATTGTTGTACAGCCTCCACCGCTGTCCATCTCTAGGACTTTCTCATTTCCTTCAAATCTCACAACTCTCCCTAGAGGCTCTCATATGTGTGGAATCCTGCAGGATTTGTCCTTCTGCGGTGGGCTTGTTTTACTCACATAATGTCCTCCAGAGCCATCCAAATTGTAGCACAGGTCAGAACTTCTGAAAGAGAAACCTTATCAGATTTACAGTGGTCTCACAGTTACTTGTTCCAAGAGTTTAACGCAGGACATGGAAGAGCCAGGGATTTAGAAATCCTGTCTCCCACAGCACTTGCTCTGGACAGTCAAATCACCTCCATAATGAACTGTCTAGTTGTCTCTGAATGTTTGCATAATTCCCTCAAACTCGTGAGATCTGGGGACACCATGTTGGCCCACCCTGGGCAATTGACAAGAGCTTCCACAGAAATAGACCTTGATCCCACCAGACCAACCAAGGGGTGGTCTAAGAACTATCCTATGATGGGCAGCCACAAGTAACAAAGGCCCACTTCATTACCTTTGCTTTCCTGCTGACACACACACCCTCCCTCCCACCCCAACACTTCCCAAAGAAAGCTGTCACATCCTACAAAGCCCTCCACAGCCAAACATGCACAGGGTTTGTGCCAAGAAGATAACATCCTGGGTCTCATGTGATGGACGTTCCTCCTCTGGTTCTGCTCATATCATCTCACTATTCTGCAAACTATAGAATGAACATTAAGGAAGCCCCAACAATACACCCCACATGCAACAATGGTGGAAACAGAAGAAAGGAAAGGAAGTGAGATAAATTTATATAACACAGGAAAAACAGAAATTCCAACAGATGCTATGCTGAGAATGCTCATCTCTGTGGCTGTCACCATGCCCAAGCTGCATTCATGGTCTGTCTCCTCCACACATCCGCCATGTTCCCCAAATCTGCCTTCTATCAAAGCTTATCACCAAGTAGATGGGGTAAGCACAGAGCCTGGGGCCACCTAAGCCCACTCATGTTAAGCAGCATCTTCCCTATGTCCTCCCGCTAGAGTCACTTCACCATCACTAAGGCCCCTGTATGTTCTTTTAACTCAGTGGCAATGAAGCTCAAAATGGTCAGGTGCATCCCTAGCTCCTTATCATCATAAAGGTTTTTGTCCCCCGGTTCCACCCTTCAGGCCCCCACCGTGTGGGTTCTGGTTTGAGGAATGGCACCACTCTCTGCTATGGGTAAGACTGTATTGGTAGAAAACTCTGCAATCTTGCCGCAACATCTCTCACTATGGTCCTAAATGGTGTCGGACGAACCAGCCCAGTGTCCCACAGGGTGGCCTCATTTGAGTAACAGGATAAATGTCAACCCTGGTGAAATTCCCCTGGCCTTATGTCTCCAGGTGTCAAGCCAGTTCCTTGACCAAAGACAGTGAATCGTAGTGCTCTGGTTTGTGTGTCCCCCAGGGCTTCATGTGCTGGAGCTTAATCCCCATTGTGAGGGATTACAAGGGTAAAAGCTTAATCTGATGTGTTTAGAGGTGGGGCCTTTGGCGGTGATTAGGATTAGAGAATGTGTGCTCACTTTGGCAGCATGTTATACTAAAATTGGAAGGATTAGAGAAGGTCACCAGGGTAGAGCCACATGGTTGGACTCTGGTGGCTTTATGAGAACAAGGAATGAGACCACACAGATGCACACTCGTGTCCCCTGTATCTTCACATGCAATGCCCCGTACAGCTTCAGGACTCTGCCAGCAAGGAGGCCCTCACCAGATGTGACCCCTGGTCTTTGCATCTGCCAAATAAACCTCTTTTCTTCAGAAGTATCATGATTCAAGTATTTCATTACAGTAATGATGAGCTAATATAGGAAATTGGTACTGAGAGTGGGGCCATTACTATACTGGATCTAGAAATGTGAAACTGATTTTGGAACTGGGTGGCTGGCAGAGGAAGGAAGGGTTTGGAGGGGCCAGCCAGGAAATCCTGGGCTGCTGTACGTAGTCACTATGGGCATTCTGAAGAAAGCTCAGAGGAAATTTAGGAAAGAAGGGAAAAGCTAGGTTGGCTTAGAGACTGGCTGTCAGGGGAAGTGTGCTGAGAGACATGTGGACAGTTAAGGTTTCAGATGGAAGTGAGGACTCTGTTGGAAATTGGATTTAAGGCTACTCTTGATACATTGTGGTGAAGACCTCGGGTGCATTGTGTCCATGCCCTGAGACTTGGTGGAAGGCTGAGTTTAAGAATGATGGATTAAACTGGGCTTGGTGGTGCATGCCTGTAATGCCAGCACTCAGGAGACCGAGGATTCTCACAGGAGGATCACTGGGAGTTTGACATCAGTTTGAACTACATAGTGAGACTCTGTCTCAAAAAGAAAAGAAGAAAATTGGGCATGGTGGCACACACCTGTAATCCCAGCACTCAGGAGGCTGAGGGAGGAGGATCTTTGTAAGTTCAAGACCAGCCTGGGCTACAAAGTGATCAGCCCGGACTAGTTGTGAGACTCCATCTCAAACAAACAAACAACTACATAAATAGAAGAATGTTTGCCAGGTGTGGTGGCCCATGCCTGTAATCTCAGTACTTGGGATGCTGAGGCAGGAGGATTGTTGTGAGTTTGAGGTCAGCCTGGGCTACAAAGTGAGCTCAAGGCCAGCCTGAACTGCATAGTGATAACTTGTTTCAAAAAGACAATAAATAAATAAATAAATAAATAAATAAATAATATAAACTTTATTTGTTGAAATAGATTTCAATATGATAAAGCATTCAGGGTATGGGATGGATGTTACTGGCCATTTTCAGACAGTTACAGTGAAGATTCAGGAGTAAAAGGAAGAAGAGCAGAAAGACTTGACAAATTCTTAGGCTGCACATAAAGAGCAAAGAAAAATGGGTGTAAGAGTGCAAGACAGAACACACTTACTAAAGAGAATAGTGCATGTCAAAGGGAACCAATGGCTTTGCGTCCAGACCGTTGGAAAAAGGCCTCCAGTTATCTCAGAAATCTTTGTGAAAACTCTGCTCTGGGGTATCTGGCCAGTGGAGGGATTTCTAAATCCCCTGTGTGTGGGGGCAGTCAAGTGCATGATCAAGTTGCATTCCAAATACTGGTCCCAAATTATATACCCACCAGCTATGCATGGGTGCTCTGCTTGGTGTATGTCCTTATCCACACATCTAAACATTATGCCAATCTGGTAGGTGTCAGATGATACTGCAATCCATCCTTACCTTCCCATTTCCCTGCTTATGAATCAGGTTTTTATGTATCTAATTCCTATTTTGTGAGATATCTACTTGTGCCTCTTGCCCATTGTTGGGTGGTATAACACACCTCTTCTTGCTGATGGATGAGGGAGCTTTTGTGTAGTGCTAGGTAGAGACTGTGAGATGTTGCTGGCTGTAGTAGTGCACCCCTGCAATCCCAGCACTTAGGAGGCTGAGGCAGGAGGATCGTTGCGAGTCCAAGACCAGCCTGGGCGGCAAAGTGAGCTCAAGCCCAGCCTGAACGACATAGTGAGGACCCTGTCTCAAAAAGACCAAAAAAAAAAGAAAGAGATTGTGTTGTTGTTTCCATGTGTGGTAAGTATCTGTTAACCTGTGGTTTGGCTTCTGCTCTCTTTATGGTCACTTTTGGTGAACAAATATTTTTGTTTTTTGTCTTTTTATGACATTTCGGCACAGAAAAGCAACAGAAGGAATAAGGAGCACATGTACACCCTGAGGGCTAATTCTAAGTGTCACACTGGCCAGAGCTTAGCTGTTTGTCCAACACCAGTCTAAACATTGCTGAGAGGGTGTTCTCCTACATGCTAGACATTTGAATCCATAAGCCGGGAGTTGAGTAAGTTACCTTGTTAGGTGCGCCCTCCAAATAGATGAAGAGCAAAGAGCAAAGACTGAGCTTCTCAAGGAAAAAAGGAATTCAGCCTCGAGACTGATGCAGAAGCCCTGAGTTTCCAGTCTTTTGGGCTGACCTGCAGAGGTCAGGTTCAAATAAGTCTGTATTTGCATATGGAAATGTATGTGTGATATATAGCTACAGAAATAGAACCCATACATTGGTTCTGTTTCTCTGGAGAACTCTAATATTCCCATCACCCATATTAAAGCAGTGGTAAGTATTTGCCCCAATCTGTGCCTTACAGAGGCCCCAGCATGAAGGCACCGTCCAGGAAGCAGAGACAAACACTGACTCAGACACTGACTCTGCAGGCGCCTTGATCTTGACTTCCAGCCTCCAGGACTGTAAGAAATTCACTCCTATTGTCTATAAATTGCCCCATCTGTGATATTTTGTAATGGCAGCATGAGCCAACTAAAACACAGTTGTAAAGTGTCTTTTCTTTACAACTGGCCACCAATCTGTGGATATCACAATGACATCCAGTCCCCAGCAAACACCTTCCTCCTGGGTGGTGGTCCTTGCCTGGATCCACCCCTTCACCTGACATTGCAAAGTGACACACTTTGAACTGTGTGGCATCTGAAATAGCTCCAAGGATCCCCTCCTGGCCTCGCAGTCACCTGCTACCTCCTTTATAAGGCTAGTCCTAGCTTTTCAGGTCAAGGTAAGGTGGTAAAAGTAACTTCCTGCTCTTTGCAAAGGCTGCAAAACCACACTGACTCTCACCCCCCCAGCCTGTTCTGCATCCTGCTGGAAGGCAGCATAATGACAGCAGCCCTGTGGGGATGCCCGGCAGCCCCCCACTGGAAGGAAAGTGAGGCCCCCACAAGGAACTGGATCATCCCTCGGTCACTAAGAGGGGATGGAAGTAGGTCCTGCAAGGGAGTGAGCCCACAGCCCTGGCCACTGAGAGTGGCCTCAAAAGAGAACCTGAGCCAGAAGATTCACTAGGAAACCATGCTCCAATTTCTGCCCCAAAGAAACTTTGAGACAGCAGATGCTGCTGTTTTCTGTTTTTAAATGCAGCATTGTTTGTTTTTCTTTTGATGAAACTATCATGTTTTGATGAAGCTACCAAAGACAAAACATGCTTTTAAAAACATGTTTTAAAACAGTTGTAAAATAGGTGTGGTGGCACACACCTATAATCCCAATACTCAGGAGGCTGAAGCAGGAGGATCCCTACAAGTTTGAGGCCAGCCTGGGCTACATAGTGAATTCAAGGCCAGCCTGTACTATATAGCAAGACCCTGTCTCAAAAAGATAAAAAAAAATTGTAGTTTTTAGCTGAGTACAGTGATACACACCTGCAATCCCAGCACTCAGGAGGCTGAGGCAGGAGGGTTGCCACGAATTCGAGGCCAGCCTGGGCAACATAGTGAGTTCAAGGGCAGCCTGAATTACACAGTGAGACCCTATCTCAAAAATAAAATAAAAATACAAAAAGCTGTAGTTTTTATCAATATAGCAAAAATTGTTTTAAAAAGCAATTTTGGAGCTGGGCATGGTGGCGCATGCCTGTAATCCCAGCACTCAGGAGGCTGAGGCAGGAGGATCGTTGCAAGTTCGAGAACAACCTGGGCTACAAAGTGCACTCAAGGCCAGCTTGAACTGCATAGAGAGACCCTGTGTCAAAAAGACTAAAAAAAAGCAGTTTTGGTTCCAAACCTTAGCTATATGAGAACACTATTTACAAAATCTCTAAATATAATTATACTCTAAAACTAAAAAAGGTGAAGAAATGAAACTTAGGCTTATTTTCAACATGACCATTAAAAATAGCTAAGTGATTAGGACATATCAACATGTGAATGAGTCACAGGTAACAGGGAATTTGCTGAAAGAGTGCAGACAGCTAATGAACAGGGAAAGGTGCCCAGCTTGAATATGGATCAGGAAGATGCAAATGTAAAGTGAGCCATTATCTTCAAGGCTAGTTTGGTACATAGCCATCTAAAGAGTCACAAGAAAAGCCGGGCGTGGTGGCACATGCCTGTAATCCCAGCACTCGGGAGGCTGAGGCAGGAGGATCGTTGTGAGTTCGAGGCCAGCCTGGGCTACAAAGTGAGCTCAAGGCCAGCTTGAACTGCACGGCAAGACCCTGTCTCAAAAAGACAAAGAAAAAAATGGTATAAAATTTATGCCCTTGTAGATGTGAAGACTTATTATGCTCTCAGTTTAGACATTTATC